GCACAGAAGCGTCGGCAGTTCGAAGAGGTTGCAACCACAGCAAAGAAGGCCCCAAGCGAATATTCACTTACGTGAAGCAGCGACTGATACCAGCAGTTGACGTAGCGGTATTAGAAACTTCGGACTTCCAGCACTTGTTAGGAGAACCTCCTACGGAATGGATTGTTGAACACTACACAAACGAAATTCCAACCGTTTTTCAGAAAGCAAGTTGAATAATCGCATTGTTTGATCAACAAAATGTTTTCGGGCATTTTAATACTAATATTGACTATTAAAGAAGAGGAGAGAACAGAAAATGTCCGAGGTGGAGCCTGTGTCAAGTAATTACCTCGCGTCTGGCAGCCATTAAACCGGTGCCCGTAACCTTCACTTCTTGATCGGTCAATCAGAGCGGGCATAGCCTTTAGGAGAGGAATCAGGGCGGTACGGCGCGACCTTGGTGACCATAAGAGCGCTGAACATTCGTCCGCGTTGGTGACGCATTTCGCTTCTGTATTTGCAGGTGGGCATGCCTCCATAACAAACTCGGTGTGTGTAGCCCCGACTGAACTAGAGCTAAGATTGCGAGGTGGAAGATGTCCGAAATCTACTTGCCATTTTTGACGGCAAGAAGCCTGCTGATCCCGAGGGGCTCCACCGGCTGATTCGTAAACCGTTGTCGACCATCATCCCTCATTCGTGGCTGGTCTGCTTAACAGTTCGCTGTCCGAAGATGCACTGCGGAGCAACTGCAAATGCTCGATAGTGAAGCCCATTCCGAAAGGCGGTGACACGAGTAAGATTGACACTTACCGTCTTTTTGGCTGACCTCCGTTTTGTCCAAGGCACTCGATAATATCGTATAAATAATCTAGTGCAGCTGCTGGAATCAAAAACCTGACATCCGCACAGCACTGTTTCATGAAGGTCCGCTCCTGTAACACCAACCTATGGTTAACGTGACATGAATGGCCGTAAGCGCTAAACCGTGGGAAGTCAGTGGATGTTATTCACATTGATTCCAGTTCGAAAGGGTGAACAATGGGGCTCCTCAACAAGTTGAGGGTGTGCGGTGTTGGTGGCTCACTGCATCACTGTATCAGTAACTTCCTTTTTTGGCAACAATGGAGGGTACATGTGAATGACCATTTAACGGACTGGTACTAATACTGGTATTGGTGTACCCCAAGTCACATTTCTGAGGCCCATTTTGTCCCTGATTCATATCAAGGGAGTACCTCAGCTTCTTCGGTCGTTTTGTGCTTTGTCTAAGGGTGACTTGATGACTTTGTGGGTAATTCATGCTCTCAGCGACCAGGATGTTCTTCAATAGGAGCGTGACTGCTTGTTCCTGTGGTCTGCAGAGGTTGATCTACCGGTTAGCTCAGTCAAAACTCTAAACATGAGTCTGGGGAAGGGTATTAATGGTCGTAGGTACATTTTAACCTGTCAATCGCTGCATCACACATCTTCCGTGAGGAACCTAGGCATACTCTCTTCCTCCTTGTGATTTGAAGTCTGTGGAAACTAGAAAAAACTATACGGAAACTGACTGCGCATGCTTTGGGCGCTCAAACGCAGCTTCTGTACTCGGTCTGAAAAAGTTGGCACTCGCCACTTCCTGACCATCATAAGTGCTGTGCTAGAATACGGTTCACCTGCCTATTGTCGGAACAATCGTGGCGAGGTGCAGAGACTAAAAGGGGTTCAGCATGTAGTTACCAGAGTTATTTCCATTTTACAGTGTCGAACGAAAATCGATGTAGGAGACTAGGACTTACATCCTGCCGTAGTGTCGGGTATTGCATGTGGGTCACTTCTCTATACTGAGGTCGCTACTGCTCGCGCGCGCACCACGCAGCACTCGCGGACACCGGTACAAGCTCGTAATGCGGGATCGGAACGGATAGCTTAATCTCTACGCTACGAGCAACGAGTGGTAAAATATCGGAACAGCTTCCCCGAGATTATAGTGGAAGCAAAACTGGTATTAAAATTCAAACAATTCCTAAATGTTCACTTTGCGTACATAAAGCATAAGGCGCAGCTGCAATATGCTGCAAACGCCCAGGAAGCAGTGATGTGATTCCGCGCACGTACCCAATCGAACTACGATGGATTAACACAGATGTAGCACCAGCAGTATGCCGGTACGCAGTACCGACACTTCGCTGCCGCGCAACCACCATCGGCCGCACGTGGGTTAAGGATAGTGAGAGGATCGCCTGGTCCCTACGCAGACTCGAACCCGAGCCTTCGGGTTACAAAACAAGCTCGTTACCTTTAGGTTACGGACCGGCATCCAGTCCTATTGAAGAATATTTATGATCTTCCAAGTCCGATCCGCTTGTAGAACAAACAGAACTTACGGAGTGTAGTGGTTAATACGCGTATATGCAACTTTCAAACGGGAGAGACAGTATCGCGTTGGCAACTAGCCCACAAAGGCGAAGACCTGCTAGATCATGACGATGGGATTAGCGCCGGTCCATAAGAAACGATCGCACACCGAGATGTTGAACAGGCTAGCTTTCACAAAAAGCCTCCAACAAGTGAATATAAGGCACTTCAAGAACGCGCGCTTTCATATTACTTTAGAAACAAAGGCTAAACATTAGCGCTTTTCTAGTGTTACCCACGAGTTAAAAGCCTCAACTGTTTCTCTAGAGCGCTTTCGTCTCAAAGTAACCCATGTTTGCTACAGGATTCCTTCGGTCCAAAATGGGGTAGAATTTGGTACTATTTCTCTGCAGTTATCGTTGCCACTACGCTTCTCTATACGCAGATGAATAAGACCTGAATTCCAAAGTTTTGATTCCTCTATTGCTGACTTGTCTTCAGTCTTACCGTTATACTACAGATGTCCGAGCCAAAATAACCGCGAAGCAACGGTCCATGCATTCAGTCTAGTGCCTACATATACAAACTTCCTACCTGAAACTCATGGCTTTTTTCATTCCATTATGTTTCGGGTGTTCAGCTATAGTTGACTTCCCTATATCCGTTTTCCTAAAAATACACCCAATATTATCATCAAAATAGTGCGCAACATGGCACTGGATCTATTGCGTTTTAGTGTTGGTAAGCATCAGCAGTACGCCGTAAGGCAGTACCGACGCTTCGCTGCCGCGCAACCATCAATAGTCGCCCGTGAGCTAAGGATAATGCGAGGGTCGTCTGGTCCCTACGAAGGCACGAATCCGTGACTACAGGTTACAAGGCAGGCTTGCGATCCTTAAGGCTACGGGCCGGCTGGTGTTGACATCACAAAAAACACTCAGGGCTGAAAATGAGTGAAGGGCTAGCAGTAACGAGACTGCATGTAGACGTAGGAAGTGTATCAGTAGTAGACCAGTACTTCGCACTGATCTTTTACTGCTATGCAACCGCAGGCAGTCGTGGACATAAATATGGCTTGAACCAATGGCTACCGGGTCAGCCAGTGAGTAGAGTTCAGATGCTTCTAATAAGATGGAATACTTTTCACTAAAATTGAACCATCTAACAAAACACTGCATGCTTTGATGCTTTGCACTCAGGCTTTTTGGTCAACATCCTAGGATGAAAAAACTAAAAGTTCCTCTATCCTGATCCGCACGCGTTATTTTTGTCTTAGGTCAAACAAAGCGTCAGTATGCATCGTGGGTCAGATGGTTTGTATGCAGTCGCCTTATCCGCATCAAACAGCAAGATAGGAGCCAAAATAGGTTGCTATTTATGCCTTTCAAATTTCATCCTCTTGGACAAGGAAGCGGGATTTCGTTTGTAGGTTTATTCGGTGAAGTGTAACGACTGTCTTTTGACAATACATAGTTAACTACTCTGATGAAATGATACGAAGTGTACCCATTCGGAAAACAGGATTGTTTAGGTAGTTTCAAAAGTCGTTACGGCCTCAGGTGAACTAGTATAGATCATTATGCACAGAGAAAGTAGTAACCCCCAGATTAAAAGTTCACGTCGGCGTCTATCATGATTCAAAGTACTCACTTGTTCCAAATCCGTAGGTGGAAGGTCACTTCAGTTTTCAATGATGAAGAAAACTGTGAAACTTCTGTATAGTTCCGACGGAGTTTTGGCATGGTAAGACAATGAAGGGGTTTTCCCCATTTTACTGCAGTTATAAAGTCGAAAGCAAGGTGGGAACTTGGTGTTCCCAATGCATTAATGTCCCAGAAGTATTCGGTCGATAGGCTATGTGAATACCCATATGTGCACAAGAAAAAAGCAAGATACGGGCATACAGCTGAGCTGACAACCCAATAGCCCTTGGTATGTAGGAAGATACACTATTAACGTGTGATCGGTTTGTGTTGGCAAATTCCCCAACACCGACATGTCTGCCAACGCAGTATAAATCCACGGAAAAGGGCATAACCGCTGTAGCAAGCTAGTATAATGCTGGCAAGCGGCACCGAATTTTGAAGCTCGGGTCCTAGTTAAACGCGTTGGATTGAGTATTTACAGCATATCCCATATCTTGGTGATGCCGAGATACAACAAATGGCTATAAAGTGCCAATGGGTGGTTCACATTACATTTCCTAACGAGGGGAGGTGGGACGATTGGCATATTCCATGCTCGCTTTAGATGTGGTGACAAGTAGGATTGAAAGGTTTACGTCGCGCAATGCATCGACCCACAACAATGTCTGTTGTTGCGACCGGAAATATTTCAGTGACGGATTTCATCAAACAAACGTGTGCATGAGAGCAGACTGCCCCAATGGTGTGTCTAGTCGGAGAAAATCAGTGAGCCAATTTTCTGCTTCCTAGTCCATTCAGCCACTACAACATCGACGTTAGTCCACTGTAAAGTAGACGTTGCAATACATGAACCAGATTGACCTAGTTAGCCTGCTGAGACAGTAGACATATATGCACAAAGGTTTACCTAGCAAAGAAGACACGGAAACTTTCACAACGAAGGAAGCTAAACAAATGAAGCGGAGCCCGCTACAACAGAAAAAGCTGTAGATAGGAGCAATAACCGAAAACAATAACGCCAAGAAACTGTACCGGCTGGAAAACTCCTTGTATACATGCATCAGGTTCACTGCATCCAAATTGGAGACTTTGACGAACTTATTGACTCCATTAAGTAAAACGTTTTGGTGAATCATTTCGACGGCCCTCTCATCCAAATCGTTACAAACTATTTCTCCGATATTAGGAACTTCCAAAGCGAACCGAACGGATCGTATGCCAGAACCACCTAAAGCTTCTAGAATTCGTAATCCACTGTATTGGGACTGCGAAAGCCGGGAAGGCGAGTTCAAGCGCTTTTCGTTCTTCATTAACCACTCCTTTTTGTGAACCTTCTGAAACCACTGCAAAACGGCGACCGTAAGATCACGATTGAATTCCTGAACGCGATTGTAAAAAACGCCTTCTGGTAGCTTAATGCGCGCACTTCCTTCTGCAATTACATTCGCAACCGCATCAGTCATTGCAGCCACTGTGGAACTGTAGTATGCGTGCAGTCGTGGATTCCGAGGGCTTCCGTGTCCAGCGTGTAAGTAGGTTGTAATAGACCAGCGGAACTGCAATGGAAAGCAAATACCTCGTAGGTGGCTGAATGCTCATATCACAAACACCTAGTAAGAGACCACAGTAGATCGAACACGAAGGTAAAGAGGAAGAAAAAACGGCCGTCTAGCAGAGGTGCGATGATCTCCTTACCTCAGGGATCATTGCAAGGTCATGCTCGGTCTTGCTAGAAAGGCGCTGTCATCAGCTCCTACAGTACTACTAGTTGACCTCGATCTGATGATGTGAACAACTGATGAATGCAGTGTGCTCAGTTTGAGAGATTCCGCGACAAGCAGTGGGGTCACAGAAAGGTCAATAATAGCCACATAGGCAACGATCCAGCTTTAGGGACTGCTGTCAAGAGCAGGAAGGATCGCCGAATATGTAATATGCGTCTGGTTGACGATCTGCTGATGTGCGAAACAAGCGGTAAACGCGGTGTGCTAGATTCGACAGATTCCCCGGCAAGCAGTATGGCCAGAAGGAAATTAATGATCGCCTCGAAGGGCAACGATGCAGATTCAGAGACTACTGTCGGGAGTAGGGCGCTGAAACGTAGCTTCTGCACCTGGTCGAAAGAGATTGCAACTCGTCTCTTCACATCCATTGTACGACCGGTGCTAGAATACGGCTCACCCGCCTACTGTCCGTTGACGAAAGGCGAGATACACAAGCTCGAAAGAGTACAACACAGCCACACGGCTCATTCCCGGTCTTCAGGGTGTGCCGTATGAAGAAAGATGCAGACAATTGGGTCTGTATACTCTAGCCTACCGCCGCGTGCGAGTAGACCTCATCATGACCCATCGGGTATTGCATCTGGGTGCTTATCCGATGCTGAGGCCACTGCTCCATGTCCGTGCGTCAAGCAGCACACGAGGTCACCAGTACAAACTGGTAGTCCCTGACTTCAAGTGGGTAGCTCATCCCTTGTGTCTTGAGCGGCGAGTGGTGAACATGTGGAACCGTTTGCCCTCGCGGATAGTAGAAGCGAACTCGGTGTCGGAATTCAAACGATTCCTGGACGCGCACTTTGCGGATGCCAGATTCGACGAAGCCTTCACAGGAAACTGACGAAGGAATCGTTCAATGACTATAACCCATGGCGCCCGTTAATCCACCAACTGCAGCTTCCGAAACGATGCCCATCCGTAATAGGCGGCGGAGCTGGTGAAGGACTCCATGTGGTTCATCCAAGAATATATCGTAAGTACATGGAGATTTTTTCTATGCTTGTAAATATTTTACTTTTTTCACCTGGGCTATCTCACTACTACAGGTAACACTATGTCAGTGGGACATGTCCTACATTGAGATATAGCTGGGCGCTATCTGTCGTGAGTAGGCAAGGACGCTAAATGTGTAACATCCCTCTGGTTTACGATCAGGTGTTCAAAACAAATGAGGGGCAAGGTATAGAAGTTTCGAGAGATTCCACGACAAGCAGTATGGTCAGAAAAAGGTTAATGGTAGCCTCAAAGTCTAGCGTTGCTAGACAAACATTCGCTGAGAATGCTGGAATCTTGCGGCTGCCAGTGCAATTGCGACGGAGCCTCGAAGAACGTCTTAATGCAACGACACGCATCAAACCCAGGATAATACGTAATCGAGTGGGCTGACAAGGGATTTCCCTCCAGTTCTCTACAACTCAATGAACTCAGTGAAGGACCCAGCTTCAAGGACTGCTGTCGGGAACTGGGAAGGTTGCTGAATATGCATTATGCGTGCGGTTGTAAATTCCAAGAGCTTCCGTGTCCAGCGTGTACGCGTGTCGTAATAAACCAGCAAAGATGCAATGGAAAGCAGACACCTCGTGGGTGGCTGCATGCTCATATCAAAACCACCTAGTAAGAGAGTAAATCAAACGAGGCAAAGATAAGAGTATCAACGGGCGTCTGAGATACAACGTTCTCCTTACCTTAGAAAACACCGCAAGGTCACGCTCGGTCCTGCTAAAGTAACAAGGGGAAACCGTTAATAATGTTGGGCCAGGAGCAGCAGCGCGGAAAGCGGGACCACGCGCAACGAACCTCCGGAAAAGCAACATAGAGGGTAGCCAAACTCACATATTGGCGGGAAGCAATCTTGCGGCAGACATGCGGCGGTACAACTTCACACGATAGATTTCTGTAACAGCAATGATTAATTTGTGTAAGCTAACTAAATAGCAAAACGTTTTCATAAATATAAATTAAAACCATCAAGCACGAACGTTACACTGCGTATAAAATATGGATAGGTGAGTTAGATAACTAGCCAACTTTAAAAACCATAAATAAATGAATAGACTAGAAAAGCAATCATATTGTGCAATTATTTGAATTCTTTCTGATATTTTACATCAATGGTTGGCCAAATTTTGCTGGGCGTACCCATGTAGCGACCTGGAGATTCCCCCGAATGACTGTGTAAACTATTCTACAATATTCAAATTATAGATTTCTTAAGTATTAGGGAACTATTCGGTTTGCCTGTTGGAATGCTGTTCCCGTTTGTTGGAAACACGAAAGCGATCTCCGCATTTGGCGCGCGGCTCGACTGCGAACGACGCTCCGTCTACGCTCTCGACGTCAACGACATTCTCCCTAGCTAGCTCTCTCCGGGTGGCCTATTTTTAGCTTTAGCTAACGCTCCTCCAGTCCAATAAACTTCTTCCCTATTTTACTTTTGTGTCTTCTACCCACTGCTTTTGCTTGGCTGTCTAGCCGCGTACCGGATGTATAGCGCACGATCAACGCGCTATACCCAGCCCAAACATTTTACATTTATCCGCTCAGGGAAATGTGTAGACCTCCATCCCACCCTATCGGAGCTTTGCATGTAAATGGAACAAATGCTGCAGTCTTCTTTTATCCGTAGGCTGCAAACGATTAGAGTCTGTTGTTTTGAAATGGCAAGCAAAACTTGTAACAGTTTGGACTTGCACGTTTGCCGTATCCCCATCGAGGCTTGTGGCCTGTAATCAGAATGCAGAACAGCTCATAGCGTAACACTACATTGTCTGATATAGCTAATGAAACAAAAAGTTCAGAAAGAGCAGATACCATTAGCATGCAACCCTGGAGCTTTGGGGTACAAGTAGAAAATTTTGTTGCATCAGATGATAAGCGGTCGGAAGTTGATTGGGGCGAGTTTGGGTTATAAGATGCAGCAGAGTAAAATGTGGTAACTGCAAATAGCGCGATGCAGTCCCGCATAATAATGGTCTAGGCGAGTCTTGAATTTTTTCCTAGTAGTTGCCGAAGCAATCCGGTTGGCATGGCGGTCCACGGTCCGCAGACTCGCTGAGCGAAAAGTGTCGCCTGCAATCCCGCCTGGCTGCGCTGACGTGGGACATGAAGTGGGTGCTCAGGAAGATGAATGCATAAGTTGTGCAGTTTACGCGATCCGCCTCAGGCGTGCTTAGGGTTACCTAGGGTTCTAATGACAAGGAGCAGAAGGCCCTTTATACGTATGTATATTATCAAGAATAGCCGAAGACGATGAACCGTTCT